GCTCTTCACCCTTCCTTGTGTGACCTCCCCACACCCTCCTTTCCTGGGATCCCCTCCCAAATAAACTATTTACGCACACGAGTCCTTGTTTCAGTTCTGCTTTGTGGCAGCCCAGCCTGACTCGAGATGAGAGCTTCTAATAGGAGAGGCACACGCAGTTAATGCTGGAGAAAATGCCAGATTTGAAGGAGTAAATCAAGCGAGGATACCAGGGGCATGAGGAGAAGGGAAGGGAGTTCTTAGTTCCACTTACCCAAGAGCAGGACCAGGAAGCACCTGCTCCCCATAGCGCTGAGATGCCGGGAACAATCTCTCTCAAGCAGGACGCGGTCAGAGTGCCTGTAATGAATAAGCCCCATGAAATCCGATTTCTGATGGTCCCAAGTTCAGAAGCCACGTGGCCAATGCTTATCAAAATGTAAGGCTGAGGCAGGAGAATTGCTTGAAACCAGAAGGCAGAGGTAGCAGTGAGCCGAGATCGCACCACTGCACTCCAGGCTGGGCAACAGAGAAAGACTCTATCTCGAAACCAACCAACCAACAAACAAACAAACAAAAAACTTTTCATCTCTCCCTCTCGTTTGACCCAATAATTCTACCTCTGGTTAACTCTCTCAAGGAAAAGACCCTGCAAGGATGGTCATAGCACATTTCGTTATAGGGAACAAGTTTATCACTCAACAAATGCTAAAAAACGGATGCATCTGATGAAATATCCGGCTGGAATTTAAAATCCTGTTCTATGGCAATCAGCAAGATCAAGAGTGGAAAACTCCACCAGACAAACTACTCATTTCTTCTTCTTCTTTTTTTTTTTTTTACATTGCTGTCATTGATTTTATTTTTAATTTTTAATTCATAAATAATTATATATGCTTATGGGCTATAATATGATGTTTTGACTTATGCTGACATTGTGGAATAATTTTTTTTTTTTTTCCGTTCTATCACCCAGGCTGGAGTTCAGTGGCGCGATCTCGGCTCACTGCAACCTCCGCCTCACAGGTTCAAGTGATTCTCCTACCTCAGCCTCCCAAGTAGCTGGGATAACAGGCACCCGCCACCACGACTGGCTAATTTTTTATATTTTTAGTAGAGACGGAGTTTTGTCATGTTGGCTAGGCTGGCCCTCCTCGGCCTCCCAAAATGCTGGGATTACAGGCGTGAGCCACTGCACCCAGCCTAAAATAAAATAAAATATTTTTAAAAAGGAGAAAGA